AAGGGCAGGGAGGTCCTGGCAGGGCGGTTCTGCTCCAGTTCTTTCCTCAGGGCTCTCTAAATACTGGCCCAGGGATTTAAGAGATCTTGAATGAATTCTTTGTCTTGGTTCCCCTTGGTCACATTTCTGCAGGCTTTAGGGCTGCCTAATCACTTTTAATCAGGAAAGAAACCAGCCACATGAGGAAGGAGGACAAGCACTCTCACTATGGTGTCAGGTGCCAGAGCAAAGTTTCCGTTGTCTGATGAGAAAAGGGGAAAAAGGGAGTTTTCAGTGGGGAAGAAGCTCCCCTCCCCTCTCACCCTGCCACAGCCAGTGCTTCCCTTCTTTTTCTTGAGGGCAATCCTTGCCCAAGCACTGGTTTTCCAGGTTTGCTCCCAAGAGGGCTGCTGTGCTGCGGGCACCATGGTGCTCTGCTGTACCCTCTTCCCATCTCTTCTTGGCCCTTCACTCCAAAGATACCACTTCTAGGTCTAGCAACTCTCTCAAGTCCTGCTGTCATGCTACACTCGCTACCTTCCCCATAGCCCTCTGGTTTAGCAGGGGCTCGCCCTGAAGCTGCTCCTGACCTCAGTACTGTGCAACTGAGAGGCATCACCAGCCCAAACCAGCAGCGCTGCAGGGATGATGATGGCAGGATGGGCACAGCATTCATGGCTGCAGTGCCCTGGAAAGCCACCTCATTTTAACACAGGAGGTAAGTCATGAAGGACAGCCAGGCCAAAAGCACAGGCATTTCACTACTCTCATCCTCTCAGCTTGCAGCTGGGATCACTGTCCTATCCCTAAGCCCTGCCTGCCCAGCAGTGAGAAAGAGATGAGGGGCAGGAGAAAGGCCAGTGTGGAGCTGCAGATGGTGCCTGTGGGCCCATTATCCTCACAGTCACTTAGAACTGGAGGAAAATAAAATCTTGGATTATCCACACAGCACCCGGGCTTAACCTCTGGCAGGAATGTTCTCATTAAGTCCAGGCCACGCACATGAAAGAAGGGCTAAGGGGCTTGAGGAGCTGCTGCTGCTGCTGGCCGCTGAGCGCAGACAAAACCTTGTATTGTTTGGGATGGTTTGGAGGAGGGAAAGAGCCCACACAACAGTGAAATGTGCAGCACAGGGAGCAAAACCAACCCAATACCTGGGGCAGAAGGAAGGTGGTGGTTGCTTGGAGGGGCTGTGTTCCACCACTCCCAAGGAGTGCCTAAAAGGACTTAACTAAAATTCCCTTCCCTTCCCGCGCTTTCCCTTTTCACCACAGCAAACAAAAAGTGATCTGATAGAAAGCTGCACAACCTTCTGCTTTCTCATCCCCAAATCCTCAGAAAAATGTCCCAGATTCCAGGAAAACTCGTGGGGGAATGGGGGCTGCCTCTTTGAAGGCAAACACAAACTGGGGAAGTGCTATAGGCTGAGCCCAGCCACCAGCACAAGGATGCAGAGGAAGGAGCAAGGATGGCACTGCAGGCTCCCAGACCTTGGAAGCCAAAACCGCCTGGGACGAACTCAGTGGGGAAAGCACCAAGTTTTTGGCCAAGAGCAGAGTGCACATCAGGTGCTTGTCATGAGTGGCCTGGGAGAGAGCAAGCCCCTGAAAAACGAGCACTCACTTTACGCAAAGGGAAAGGGGCTCAAGCAGGTCCAGAATATGGAAGCAGAGCTGGCTGTTCTTTGAATGTAAATGTGTATGACTGCACTTGCAACTTTTCCTCTCTCTGTAGGTGCAGACCCTGGTGCACCCTGACTTGTTGTGAACAGTTCTCAGTGGGAGAAGCTGGAGTGCTGTGGTGAGCTCAACTCTCTGACCTGAGCTGTGGCAGCAATGCACATTGCTCAAGGATGAGTCTTCCCTCTTAGCTTTTTCAGTCTTTTCTTCTGCATCTCTCTTGTTCACCCTTCATTTCTTTCTCCTGTGTTTTCTGTTTGCAGCAGTTCACAAGCAAACTTCAGCTTCCCTATGGGACTTCTCTGCTCTCCCAACCTTGTCTGAGACATCGCACTACAAAGGTGCTCATTCACTCCATAGAGCATCAGACATCCTGTTGTGGGTCAAAAAATACCCAGTTTGAGTTGGGAAATTTCAAGCAAAGTAAAGTATTGACAAATAAGAAACCAACCCCCACACAAACACCTCTCTTCTCCCTGTCCTAGTCCCTGTGGCACAGGTTACACGCAGGCCCTTTGGCAAGACCATGGGCAGTGCAGGAACTGGGGGCTGGTGCACCAGGATCCTTGTGCTTTCGCTGCTCCTTGTGTTGTATTCAACTGCTCCAGCATGGACTCTTCCACCAGTCACTGTTCCTTTGGGTACTGCACCTGTCCTGGTCTTGTCTCTTCTTTTCCAGCATTCACTGCCCAATTTTGTCCAGTGCCAAGCCAGCTGTGAGCAGCACAGAGCAGTCCCTGACCTCCTCCTGCACAAACAAAACCAACAATGATGTCCTCAAGCATGTCACCATGCTCTCTGTGACATGCTTTTCTATTCTTTCTTTCACCTGCTGGTGTTACTTTCACTGTTTTGGAAAATTATCTTCTATTTTCCTGCTGCGTGATTTGCTGAGCCTTTGTGAGATGAACACAGTAATACCTCATAAAGCTTTGGTATCAATAACAGGCTTATACACATCTATACGACACCTTAGGGGGTCTCTAGAGATTGAAAAAAAATGCTCCAGAAGCCTTTTTCTTTTAGCCTTGGAATGGAATAGCTGTGAAAAATGTGCTGTTTAATCATAAAGTCTAACATTGCTGCCAATACCGCTGCACCCCGGGGGAAGAGGGTGTCTGCCTGGTTTATTTCTTTTTCTTCTCCCATGGTTTCTTTTGTTCAATATCCCAAAGGAAGCGAATTCTCTTAAGTGTGGTTTCTGATGAACAGGGAGAAATATTTTCTAAGGGAGCACTGGGCAGCGCTGCAAGCACAGTTTTGGCCATGGATGGATGGGATGCTCCTCAGCAGGCAGGGTCAGGCTGGGGTGTGGAGGGGTGATGCAGAGTATGCTGCAAAATCCCAAGCAGGGAGCACAGCCACAGTATTTTGGGTTGTGTGCGGCAGCCAAGCTTTTCCTGGCTCGGCACCCAGCCAGGAAAGCAGTGGATGTGCCTTCAGAGCAGTGCAGGGAAATGGCAGTGGTTCTGGGAAGTGGGGCTTGTTTCGTTTTGATTTCTGAGAAACCATGTGCTTCAGGTTCCAGCGACAGAAGGAGGTGATGGCATCCTCTCCCCACCCAGCCATTCAGGATCCGACAGTGCTGACTGACTGCAGAGCTTGTTGATGCCCCAGTCACAGGCACTGCAAAGCTGCCCGTGGTTTCTTCTCTGTGACAGTTCATTAAGTTTAACATTTAATATAAATAAACCTGTTGCCTATTTGTTCGGCAACAGGGCTTAATTCCCAGCTCAGCAGACACGCCTGTTGTAGAGGATGGCTGGAAGGGGGTTGGCAACTATAATTCTTATTTTCCCAGCACCCCCTGTACCGTCAGGCAGAGGTTAGAGCCCCCCAGAGCAGGTATCGCCAGCTTTATTGGATACTTAGCTTGAGATGCTGACACTCAGTGCTGCTTTTTCAGACATGACAAACACCAGCATCTGCTCCATGCTCACTATCTGAGGTTATCAACATTACAAGATCATCAAAACAAGCAAAATTAGGAGCTGTAATCACAGCTGTTTCTGTCAATGTCTGAATGCCAAAGCCCACAGAGCACATGGGTGGGAAAGACCTGGGGCTGACTCAAGCAGCTTTCCCAGCTGCCGCCAGACCATACTTCCCCCTCCTGTTGGAAAGCAGTGGCAGGTTCTGGCGGAGCTGTGTTGCAATCTGCACTGCTGAAACTACCAAGTCCAAAGATCAAGGAAAGAGCAGGCGTTCCCACCTTCTTAGGACCTAGTCACCCAGAATAGCCCTCACACAGTTTAAGAGCAGCACAGTTTAAGAGCAGCACGATCTGACATGATAGAAATTTACACAGATTTCTGATGAGAATACTTTTATTTTGCGCATAGGATTTTAAATGTGAAAACAAAGGTGATGTATTCAAAATAGTCCAGCTTTTGTACATCATGGAGCATAGTATATATATGGAGTAATTCTCTGAATGCTGCTTTAATGATTGACAGCATTAAATAACATGGCTAGCAGTGATTCCAGCACAGTCATTACAGCTAATAAAGATGGCAGCGCTGAGTTTTCATGTAGTGTACCCAGCTAACCAAGTATTTTCACTGGGACAGGCTGGTGCTGAGCTACACCCTTAGTGAAGGGGGAAAAATACAACAAGACCCCAGGTGAGGCAACAGTAGTCACCACATCCCAGCATCAGGCCGATGCCCAGCCGGTCTCCAAACAATAGCTACTTTGGAGAAACTCTGGCTGGTTTTATTGCTGAGCACGGAGTTACAGGGTACAGAACACGGCCTGGGTCAGCTGGGGTGAGCTGTGCTGGCTGTGTCCCTCTCCCAGCCCTTTGCTCCCCAACACCCCCTCCCTCCTCCAACCTCCTTGCTGCAGGAGTAGAGCAAGAAACGGAGACGGCCTTGCCACTGTGCAAGCACTGTTCAGCTATTGCTAAAACATCGGTGTGCCATCAACGCTGTTTTTATCACAAACCACACAGCAACATACGGGTGGCTGTGACGAAAGCCAACTCCACCCCAGCCAGAGCCAGTACAACACAAGATCACATCGTTTTCTTGGATAAATTTGGGCTCACACAGTTCATGCTATGCTGAACTTGGGCACAGGTGCTGTAGGCAGGAGGCAAAGAAACGAGCTTTTATGAACATGGAAATTACCAAGCCCAAGTCTGAAATGTAGAGGGTACCTAGAGCCCGATAGAGGAGCTCAGGCAGCAACATAAGCACTGCTCATATCTGTAATGTTACCACCTGTCATTTGTATCTACTCAGTCAGTTAGTAAGATCAAATTACCCAATGGTTTAATGGAAACAACACTCTGACAGGTTTTGGATACAAGCTCCCAGACTACATTGAGTTACTGCACCACTGTCTTGACTGAGAGCAAGTGAATTACACACAATCTATGTAAGTGACGTCCTGAGGAGAACTGAAATCCATTCAGTGTCACCATTGGCAGAGTTAAACCTGGACTCCAGATGAAGATACCTGATATCAGAAGAAGAAAGAATGTAGAAGGCATCAGGCTAAAAGAAATACTTATAGTCTGGTATATCTGGAAGTTAAGACATCTGTCCAGAAGCTTTGTATCAAACATGAGTACAGAAGATTATATTGGTGATATGGACTATTCAGTGATGCAACAGGGCTAAGCTAGAAGGGCAAGAGATAAAGCAGCAGATAATCCTGCTGTCAGATACAACAGAAGGAGATGTGTTAGCCTGAAAGGGTGGTTGGTGAATAACGGAAAGAGCCATAGAATCATAGAATCACAGAGAATCAGACTAGCAAATTGTTAATCTGTGCAAGCAGAAGGCTGGATGATGAACTTTATGGTCCATTTGAATTGTCTGTTGTTGGGTTATTGTCTCTCACTGAAGCCTTGTTCTCCCTTGAGTTATTGTCCTTTCTCCTCAAGGTACTGAGAATTTACACAGATAAAAAATCAACTGTAATTGTCCGTCTTTGTTTGGAAGTAATGTCAGTACATGTGGCTTTAAATTCAGTAAGCCCAAATTTAATATCCAGCTTCAGCTGGCGCTTCCTCCGTTGCTTTGTGTCTGGCATTGGCACTGTACAGGAGCCAAGGAATTCCATCCCTTCCTCATCTACATACTGAGCATCCTGCTTTTCTGTACAATAGAAAGAAAACTTTGCTTGTGTTTGATCTGCTTCTACTGGATGGAAATAATACTGGGCTTCTTTATTTATATTCACTGACTCATCCATTCCAACCAATTTCTTGAAGAGATCTGTACAATAAATATAGCCATCCTTTTCTGAGATCCTTTTTTTGCTGAGGTCATGGATAGGAGCATTGAATTCCTGAGCTACTGCTATGCCGTATGTCTGAGCACTGACTCTTGAGGCAACTATGCATGGATTGACTCCAAATAAAACAGCCCTTTTTACAATGCCTGCTTGGGCATCCAAAGGACAAAGGATATGATACCCCTCACTAAAGGCCTCACTGATCTCATCTCTCAAGATGATGCTAGATGAAAAGCCTCCTACAAGCAAAATGTACTGGACCTTGGCCATCTCAGGCTTGTCAAGAATTACCCTCAAAGTATGAATGATATTTCTGATACTGTAATTAAAAAAGGTCTTCATTTTCTCATACGTAACCATGAATACCCTATCACACCACACAACTCCATTGTGCTTTTTGAAGAAGTGGGAGATGTTCTTCTCACACTCTGCCAGTTTGGTCAAGTTGTAGTAGCAACGTATGTAGACATCCTCTCTGCTAGCAGAACATTTCTGTAGACCAAAGTTGTACATCATATGTTGTAATTCAGTAGGGTATTTCTCTTCATATTCATTCCATACACCATCATCAAATATTTCCCTGAGGAAATCAATGAAGTTTTGATCCACTCTGTTGCCTCCCCATCCACCTCCAGATGCCTTGTGTAATTCCTTCAGGTAATGGTTTTCTTGGATCTCATGCACCGTGATGTCTATTGTGCCACCCACACACACACACACAAACACAAATGACCTTAGCTGCTTTCTTTAAAGTACTCGAGGTCCTTACTTTCCACTGAATATAATCCAGTCCAAGTACAAATAAAGAGATCTCACAAAATAAATCTGTTTCAGAGCATTTTCTGTAGAGGTCACCCAAAAAGACCTGGTGAAAGAGAATGAGAAGCTGAAAAAGGAGGTCACAGAGCTAGAGAAAAGGTAAGGTATTTATTCAGATTTCTGATGCAATGTGCTTCTACGCTGAAAAAACACATACTTCTTGCTTCATCCAGTCCTTAGGGATCCTTTGTTTCTGACCAGATGCCCTAAACTCCATCTCCCCAGATTTTCAACCTGCTGTCACCTCTTTCCAACTGGAAGACAGCTTGGGTTGTTCTGGAAAGGGAAGGAGACATTCCCAGGGTGAATTCTTAATAAAAGATATCAGCCTACAATGACAGAGTCAAAATGCTGCTTTTTGATCACATTCCACTGTGATCATGTAAAACTGAGCTAAGAAAGTACTGTTTCCCACACAAAAGGTGATTGCTAGCTACATAATATAGCTGTGAAGCACATTGTAGAAAACACGGGCCTCATGAAATAAATTCATAACATGCTGTAAAATAATTATGCTTACTCATTGTTACTCTTGTTGTAGCTAAGTTTTTTAATATCCTTCTTGCCCTAGAAACAAAGAGCTCTTGTCTAAAGCGATGGGCAGACACAAGGAGTCTGAGAACGTGAATGATGATTCACGTTTGTCTGCTGTGCTGGGCACGTATAATATACTCAAGCTACGTGACTGGGAAAAATTAAGGCAAAACATGACCAGTTTGACAAATAAAGATGGCAGCATCATGATTAAGGTATGATTATGTCCATTTTCTCAATCTGACTCTTATCAGATCAATATGGTGTAGCAGTATAGCAGACTCTGAGTATTAGTATTTTTGTGTCAGACAGGGTCGAGGACTAAGTTTGTGTCTCTGATTTCCCAGTCCAGCAGGGCCTGTGTAATGCTGCAGAGAGCAAACTGACAGTGACCTGCTTCTGCCTGACTTTCAGAAGGGCATATTCAAATCCCAGTCACAGATCTCTCCCATGTTAAGCACAAATGAGAAAACGCAGTTCAGTTTCCTTATGGGTAATGCATTAAGTACTAGATGGGAGACCTCATTCTGATGTCTGACCCACTTGGTCTGATGGTGGGGGTATCTGAAGGAAAATACCAAAATGGTATACCTTAAAGGATGAGACTGAGATGAGGTATTATTAGCACTGTTTGCGGTGATAAGGCCCCACAGATGCTGAAGAACGGGCTTCAACAGGCTAACAGTTTATTTACCAGGTATTGAAGATGTATTTCAACCAGTTAGTGGCCCTACAATTTACTCTACTGCAGATGTCGTTTCAGCACATGCTTTCCACACTACACTTCTCTTTTCACTGTGACTGCTGCTGTGATCAGCTGTTGTCTTTGCACTGCAGAAGCTGTTTGTTGCCTGTGAGACACATATCCAGGACACTATAGCTAAAGTAAATGAAGTTCTTGGCATTACACCTTTGGATGATGTTATGATCGACAGCAACCAGGTATTTCATGTTTCTGTATAACTGCACCTAGGCAGTGGGATAAAAGGGTCACCTGCATACACCATTCATTTAGAACGTAGCTTCTGCTAGGGACACTGCTCAAAATATATCAGCAATGACAGCTGAGAGGGATGAGGGTATGGAAAGCTGAGCTCCAGCAACCCTAAGTATGAGGTCAGCAATGGATAAAACAGGTATTTCTCTTTAAGAGGTAAGCTATTCCTGCGAGGAGCAGGGAGTTGGACTCGATCCTTGTGGGTCTCTTCCGGCTTGAGATTTTATGATTCCGTGTCCCACAACAGACATACACAAGCTACATGTCTGAATTTTCCAGCTGGCCAAAGCACATATAGGAGTGTGGAGAGCATTTTCCAGCCATGTGTTGCTTTAATGGGACCTTCCTCCAAAGCTTGAAATGAATGACTTCTTCATTGCTGATTGACACAACCTGAGAAACAAAGATTCCCAGTGCTCAAGGACTGCACTGCTGGCTATGCCACATGCTAAGAGTCTGCTTTGTGCTGTGCTTGCTTTGTAGGGGGTGATGCATGATACAAGAAATATCCTCAGGCATTCCCACTACAAAAAGCAACTAGAGTTTTACAGCAAAATTGTCATGGTGAGTAAAGGTACAGACCGGGAATAGTGGCAGTGGTTCAATTTTATGGGATGTCTCTGCAGCTTGGTATTCAAAAGAAAAAGAGACAATGGAGGTGTCCCTTCTGCTTGAGGTTGTTTACCATTTGTAAACAACTTGATGAGGGTCTTCCAGCCCATGTACTTCCAAAATATTCTCAGAGCCATGCATACATGTAACCTTGTACGGAAGATACAGAGCTACACTGGAAGCAGTGGGGAACAGCAGGACAGGCAGGACAGCGCCCTTACCAACATGGCACAGTCCTGCTGAACCCAAGCAAGGTGCAAAGAGCAGGACCGGTGGTGGTGATCAGGATCAGCCACAGCCCAGTGACGACTGGGCAAACCCACAGTGACCATAGAGTTCAAGTCCAAGCTGGGAAGTCAGTCTGTGGGGTCAGGGTCAGGGTCAGCCAAGCTGGGCACAAGCATCCTAAGACCACAGCTTGGGCAAACACCCAGCTACCACTGAGTTTAAATCAGCTCCTGGGACAAGTGGTGGAGCATCTGTGGTTGGAGATGAGACTTTTCATAGGTCCTTTTCACAGTACCCTCTCTGCCAGTTTAGCTCTTTGCAGATCTCTCTATGAGGAAACAGAGACAGTTGCTGGATGCCAGAACAGTCTTTTAAGTAACCCTTGGACCTCTGCTTGTCCACTCAAATGGTACCATCATCTTTGACAAAGCAAGTTCTTCAGTGCTAAGTTTATGGGGAGCAGCTACACACAAGAACAGGGAGGCAATGTAACATTACATCAACATAACATTACAAAGCTTTGTAAACTGTTCTCACTTGATTTTTCAGCAAGCTGGCATTGCCCCAAGAACCAAAACTGAAAGGGTGTTCACACTGAAGTGCTGCCAAGTTTATTGTTTGCTGTTTCTTCAGAACCCACCAGTTAAAGCTGAGTGGAAAACACAGGGAAGCACAATAAAACATTTAGAGCACATCAACTGGAAAGAAGCAAAAAACTGGAGAAACCCAGCGTTACTGTGGCCCATAATGAAACGTGGGGAAGAAGTCATTGTGAAAGGTGTAGTCTGGGATTAAAAGTAGCATGACTTCAGTCAAGCTACTCATTTACATGACCACAAGATGAAACAGCTGCTGCACAATATGCTGCTTTTCTTTCTCCCATGAACTGCCTGCTTTCCAGAGTTAGTAAGTTAGACGCTCAGGGCTTGGGGCTCCTAGGATAAATCATTATTTGCAAACTTATTTAAAATTGAAAATGCTTGCCTCAGTAGCATACATGTATTTCATGTAACATTTCTTTTTTGCTGCCTCTTAAGCAGCATTTGTGTGGAAAGAGAATCTGTATTTCTAGCCTACCCTACCTGCTCTTCACAAATGCTTATGACACTGTCAGGTAGCAGGTTGGATCTCAGCCACCTCACTTGCCTCCTTACCAACAGCCAGTAGCAGGACCAACACTTTGCGGGACCCCTAACAGCAGTGCTATCTCTGTCCTCCCCTGCTTCCTACAGCAGGTGCACGAACTGTAGGCTCATGTTTTCCGCTTCAGCAGCGAGGCTGAAGATGGCCTGTTGGGAAGCAGGCATCCTTCTTGAGTAAAAATGTCCTCACCTGAGAAAATAGATGAAGGCACTAAAAGACAAGGTTCACAAAGGCTACAATGGGCTTTCAGAAGGCAGGTGTGCATAGGTATGTGTACCCAGGCACAGACACTGAGGCCCACTATTAACATGCCAAAAGGCCACTTGTCTTAACACAAATGCCTCCTGCCTGTTAGTACTCAGCTGCTTTCCCATGTCCGTACAATTTACCCTTCAGCTCATACCTGCCACAGCTCTTGATCAAAGTGCTCTGAAAGGTTTATTTCACAGCATAAGGGGGTTGCAATGGGGCAAAAGCATGCTTACGTGCTCATGTAACAAAATATTCAGTGAGAAACTTGAGATCTGCCAAATATAATAGACTGGAAATCCTGCTCTGTGCCTGATGAGTCCTTTCCTGCAGTTCTGCTTTCTAGTCCATCAGTTTCCTTGGCTACACAACCCTCCTGCCATTTTCTCAAGGGTCCCTAGAAAGAAAGGCAAATTGCTGTGCAGCTCTCTGCAAGCAAATTGCTTTGCTTCTCTCAGGAATCCACTGTTCTGTGAGTGTGTTTCAGGTCACTGACAACAGAATCACAGACCTGTTAAGGTTGGAAGGGACCTCTGGAGATCATCCAGTCCAACCCCCCTGCCAAGTCAGGGCCACCCAGAGCAGGTTACACAGGACTGTGTCCAGGTGGGTTTTGAATGTCTCCAAAGAAGGAAGCACCAGCTGGGATCCAGCTATGTGCAAATAAATTGGCTTTTACAAAACCAGAGTATTCTGAGAAACTGGCTGCAGAAGACCTTTACTGGAAATATTTATTAGGGAATAGAGCAAATGAATTAAAATTACATATGCCCCGTATTTCCTACAACTTCCTCAAAAAGAAAGAACCACAACAGTTAGTTTTTCATACCTTGTAAGGTGTTGCAGACTAAGGTGTTGCAGACTAAGTGGGCAGACTAAGCTGGACACTTCATCTTGCCAGGTAAATGACAGGGAAGTTGTCCAGTACCAGCAAGTAGGGGCTTCAGCATGACCCTGAGCCAAATGCCATGTGATTATATAGGTTTAATAGTACGTATATGCAAGCTGCCATGCTCTATTTGTTACCTGCTTAGAAATTTTGTTAGCACTTTGGAGCAATCAACAAAACACTGTTGCTTTAGACAGGTCACTGGGCGCAAGCATAACGGTTGTGGCTGCTGCTGCTGGTTGTCCTGAGATAGCCTGAAACCTCCAAACAAGAATGTCCCTGAAGAACAGGTTGAGTCACATACATACACCCTGCCTTCCTCCATGTTGTACAGGATACAATCATGAAATAATCCAGAGCTGTCTTCCCTTTGTTCTTTGGCTCTATACCATCATTGAGAGACTTGGAGAAATGCTGCTGATAGTCCTGAAATGTTCTCCCACAACTTCTTCCACCCTCTGTCTCTTGCGGACAAGGCAACTCTTCCAGAGCTTGAGAAGTGTATTGCATTTCCCATCACCTCCTCTCCCTCCTCCTCTCCCTTTTCATCAGTCAACACAACTAT